CACTGAAGGTCACACAATTGGGAGGCTGCAGGGTCCCAAGACCCCACTCACCATTTCCAGAAACCCCAATCTCAACCCATTCTTCATAGAAACAAGTGTGCAGGATCCTGTTCAAGCAAGAAGGCACCTGATGGGTGACCGTGGGATCAAGGGTTCTGGGCCCCAGCAGCTGACCTCCATGTAGGCCGCGGCTCAGATGTGAGGCCAGAGAACAGGGCCAGGGCTCTAACAGCTCCCCCAGAAAGGAACACCCTTGAATTCCCCTCTGCCTACCTACCACTTGGCAGTCAGAGTAGGGAAGTCCCCGAGGTCACTGTCTAGCTGCAGGAATGTTCCAACTTGTAAGTATCTCTGTTTTCTCACTTGTAAGTATCCCTGTTTCCAGTTGAAGCCCATGTAGGAGAAAGAGGCGCACTAGTGTACCCCACACACTACAAACCCAGCTCCATTTGGGTTTTGTTTCAAGAGACCCTTCGAATGAAATCATGCCCCTGGCTCCCTCACCCTCTGGAGCATCTTATATTCTGCTCCTAGGCAGGGAAGCACCCTGGCTCCTGCTCATCCCATCACTGGGTGTGGCTTCCTCCCACAAGAACCACCTCCAGAGCCTTCCTTCACCGTGAGTAACTCAGCAAAGCAAGGCCTCACGACTCCCTCCACTTCATATATCTATTCGGGAAGTCTTACAAAATCTAGAAACTTCTGTGGGTAACTCCACTTGGTTCCCCTTTATTTCTCTTACCTATCATGAAAGATACTACAGCCCAGCTGTAATGGGATGAAGAGAGTTGTTTCCTCCCCTCCCCCACCCAGCACACACCCGCCAAGGCTGTAAGCTACTCCAGACTAGATGGTCAGAGGCGTCTGTGGAGGGTGCACTTGACCAGCAACCTCCAAGGTGGGCAGAGGCCAAGCTCAGGGGCCTTGCTGCAGGATCTGGGGAGCCAACAGCAGCCCTTCTCTTTACAACACAGCCTTTGCAGAGGTGTTGGGCCTTTGATATAAGTAGATAACCTAAGAAGATCTGGACCCCTTCACCTCTGCCATCAGTGATGGGGTGAGATCGGGTCTCAGTCGTTCAATGAAAGGACCTAAAGCTATTACATGCACATGTCTACACATCTCCCCATCCTCTTTAGAACCAACTGTCCTGGGCTCCAGAGGTACACACAAAACCCAACCACCGAGAGCGTGGCTGATGTGCAGGAACATGTTCTGGCACTCGCTCTCCCAGCAAGGACAGGGGTGCTAGCCCCCCACCACCACCACGTTCAAGCCAGGAAAACAGGCTGTGTGGGCCCTTTCTTTTGCAGGATTGTGTTACTACCAACTGGTGCAATTTCAGCAGCTTTTTAAAAAGAACCAAGAGCAAAAAGTGAAAGGGGGGCAACTATCAATGGCCTTTGTAGAGAGTGCATGTCTATGCCGTCTCAGGATGGGGCTCCAGAGAGGCCCACGTCTGCATGCTCACTAATGGACACCACCATAAAACCTGCAGAGGAGCCAACCACGGAATCTTTACAAGGGCCCCACAGCGGGGACGCTCACTGTGCCACTTCAGAGGAGGAAACTGAGGCATAAGTCACTTGCTGGTAGGTAACAGAAATGGAATCCACAGTGTACTCTCACCATCTCTCCAAGAAGAAGGTGACATCAAGAGAGAGAAGGCGGAATTGGGAACAGACATGAGGCTGGGATATGTGCTGGGGGCTGGCACCGGAGCATACTTTATCCTGCCCCAGAGGAAGCCAATCTCATCGGAACCCATCAAACTCCTCCAGTGCCACACGTGTTCTTTCATGGCCTCCCCTGCATGGAGCCAAACCTCTGACTGCCCACTGAGCCCCACTGCCTGGCGCTGGCTCTCTCTGCAACCTTGGTTTCTTTGTTCTGCGCTTCATTATACAAGGACAGGAGGAAGAACAGCGGGAAGGAGAAATGAAAGAGGCATTAGGTTGGGCTGCTGATGCAACGCTGAAGCCGAGGCCACCAAGAGTCATTTCCTGGCTTATTCTGGTATGAAAGGTGGTGACAGGGAGGCTCTAGTAGGTCACAGCTGACTGCGGGCCCGCGGCAGGCTCCCAAGTGGGCTTCCTATTTGCCTCTACCCCTCTCAGTTCCCAGAGCCATGCCTGGCATGGGGCAAGTGCCCCAGAAATGTTTGCTGAATCAATCAAGACCTGAAGTGGTGGGAGGGCCTGCGAATGGGGTGGGCTAGTGGTGAACTTGCAGGATCTGGGGAGCATGACAGGCATGCTCCCAAGTCTAGGCAGAGGCAGACGTCTGGGACCTGCAGGTCCCTCAGGCCCAGGATCTGGGGAAGCAGTGGCATCCTAGGGCACCCAGTGGGGCTTCAAGCCAGCCCTGCCCTTCCTGAAGGTTTCCCGAGGGGGAAAGGGACTATTTCACGGAAGAGAAAACTAAAGCTCTGAGAGGCTAAGTAGCCCGCCTGGGGCAGGCAGGGCCGGGATCGGAGCCCATGCAGCCATAAGTAGAGAGGGAAGGAAACCATCTTAACTAGGGAGCAGTTCAGTGCCCGGCTTGAAATGGGTCTTTGCGCCTTTATGCAACAGCAGGTACTTGGAGGTCCCGAAAGGCCAGTGGGGCCGGGATGTAGGGTAGGGAGGCAGCAGAGCGGCATTGAGAGTACTGGGGCCCTGGGTGTAGGTGAGCATCTGGGGCTGCTGGTGAGTCATGGTTGGAATGTCCAGGAAACTCACAGGAGTGAGTAAACAGCTCACGGAGCCAGTGAACAGCTGGGCTGCGTGGGGGCAGAGAAGGTGGCTGTGCTGTCCACCTCCTCCAGTTTAACAGGGAAACCAATGTTCAGGATTTACAAAATGGCCTGCCCCCACTGCTGGTCAGTGTGTAAGTGGGCTGAGGCACACTGTGAGGGTCCCTGCCACCTGCTTCTTTCTTGGATGGTGTGGAGTACCTCCGGATCCTGGATGCTGGAATGTCAAGGAGGACAAAGCCTCTGACTCACCTGGGGTCTCACTAGGTCCACCAAGACCCACTTGGCCAACCACAGCAAAGACACGGCCTGACCTGGCCAGATGTTCCCAAGAGGTCGGGGTTGAGACCTGTTGTTTGACAGACACCCCCCACCCTCCCACCCACACAGTGATTGCTATCTGTGTATCTGGCAAGGTTCAACAGGAGATGCTGGGTGCCTCAGGAGGACATGGGGGACAGGGAGACATCCTGTGCAGGCTGATGGATTTGAGGACACCTGGATCTACCCAGTCTTCAGAAGAGGTGTTC